TTCCGACCTGCTTGTCGGTGACGTGCGATCTCATGCAGGTACTTCTGCTGCCAGGCGACGATGTCCTCTCGTTCAACGACCGGGAGTTTCGTTCCCTCTTGTCATGCTCGAATCCAATGTCGTGGAGAAGGCGACGCACAGTCCAAGCCTTCAACGAGGGAAGTTCAGTGCTCGCGCAGAATTCGGCCATTATCTTCTTGACCGTGGGGACCTCGTTCCGTCGAAAGAAACGGTTGACGCACGATCTCAGCGCGCACAACGTGAACTCGCCGTACCTGACTTTGCGCCGCCTCTTGCCTTCACTTGCTGGGCGCTTCCGAGAAGGTGTCACAACTTGTCCCTCGGTTTCTTTGGCCTGCTTCCTAATCTCGAGGACGGTGCGTACACCAACGCCAAGCAGTTTTCTGACTTTGATGCAGGACTCCTCCACAGTGAGGCCGGGCTGGCCGGGCTTGGCGGGCGGTTCGTGTAGCACCTGAACGTACGCGTTCATTACCAGCTGCCGTGCAACTCGGTTGAGGACATCGCCGCTCTTATGCTTCTTGTAGAGGCGCCTTGGCGTAGGCGGCAAGCCTGCACCAGACTCTCTTGACGAAGAAGAATCGGAGGAATCGCATTCCGCTGTCTCCACGTTGGGATTTACAACGGAACAGGAAAGACGACTTCGGCATCGTCAAAACGCGAATCGCAGGAACTTTCAAAACCCGATACGCAGGGTTTTTTTAACAAACGCAGCAAATACAACGGAATGTACCTAATTCGAGTAGGAAGGCTATCAAGCTAAAACCAACAACCATATATGCATTACTTATAAAAGTTACAATTTTCGTAGCACTGAAGCCTTCTTTTTACGTCAACCTTCCGGAGCGAGTAATTTGCCTCGGCTAGGTGGCGCAAGCTGCCGCCCGCTACCAGAGCTCTGCCCGCTACAAGGTCTGTCTGTAGTAAATATTCATTCATTGAAGCAGAAGGGGCGTTTTCAGCGAACTGTTTTCTCGACTGCGGAAGCGTCTGAGGCGGGCGCATCACGCTTATAGGGAGGGGCTTCTACTACCTTCTTAACTTGTAACCGACTATAAGCCCCCCGTTTTTTTTTTTTTTTTTCTCTCAGAAACTCATTGTGTAGAGTCTCTAAGGAAAAAAGAAAGGAAAAATATAGCTTGGTTTAATTGCCAATCGAATGCTTGTTTTAGCCACCTTCTAAAATTAGCTCCGTCTTTTATTTCTGGCTTCATTTGCGCAACAGTTTTCTAGCAATAACAAGAAAGATCAGTTGCCTAAAAATAGTTCCCCTTTCCAAATGACTAAAAATAGGTTTACTCGACCAGTGTTAATCCCTGGATGAAAGCAAGGTAAGCTACTTCCACAGCAAGACTAGATAAATGATAAGATGGATAAATAAATTTTTACCTTAGCTAACACCCGGGAATTAAAATGAAATTATTTATCTATTTCTAAATAATTATTTCAGAAAAGCGCGACACAGGGTGTAGAGAAAAAGAGGCTCATTTTTTTTTATAGTGCGTAAATGAACCACTTTTTTTTAAAACTTACGTTTAAATCACGTATGCCGAACGTTAACATATATGACCAGTTGACAAATGTTCACAAGCCCTTTTGCGCGCAGAAGCTGAACAATTTCTCCTCCCAAGTTTTGTCTCAGTTGATGGAAGTAAAATCACGATCACAACCAGTTTTGTACACCGCGGCTTCTTTCTAATCTGTTGCGGACACGCGCCGCAGTATTCAAAAAGGAGGAGATCGACTTTTTAAAAGAATCAATGAAGACGATTTGGACGTTAAGTTTAACGTCGTTTAAAATAGATGTCATGTGTATTCCGCGTGATTTTGACGCAGTTTTATCCCGAAGTTACTCTCGCGTTCCGCACAAATAAATATGACAAATCCAACAATCATCATGCGGGGCTGACGACAGGAACACCCGAGACTGCGAAAAAAGCCAGCTTTTCAGTGACGTAGAGCGTGACGTCAAGTGAAGCTTGTCAGACGATTGGTCGAAGTGAACGGAGTCTTCTCGTCTTTGTTTTCTATCGTAAATTTAAACATAGTAATGCTTTTTTTATTATTTTTTGCAACGCAAAAAACAAACATTTATGTCAGAGCGTTTTTTTCTTTTCTATTTTAATTACGCCGAGACACTGAGGGGGAGGAGGGAACGAGATCGTGCGGGGTCGTTAGAACGCCGCACTCTGGTTTGAATAATTAGTGGGTAGGCCTAAAGCTGGGCAGTCCTTTTCCCCTCTGCTCTCGTCGAACGCGTTCGAATGCCTGAGCCAAACACCTGACGTCGGCGTTCCGCGTTTGACTTTAGCGGCTCTACGTTCGACGAGTGCTGTGGAGACAAAAGCAGCTAGCATGAGGTCTACCCACCCACTAATCATCCTAATCAAAGCTCGGCGTTCTGACGTCTTTGAGCGCTGTCGTCTTTCAGCGCACCTTTGTGTATTGCCGTATTGTCACGCGATTCCTGGTTCCATGCGCGATGAGAACTGCACGAACTTTATCCAAGCTGACGCGCCGCAGTTTCCCTTACTCCTCCGGGTCCGTGTCGGAAAGCTTCTGTCAGACCTCGTCTAGCACGCCGTGATCTTTCCTGCACATCCAACCAGCCTTTCGTCCGACGACACCTTTCTGCGTCTGTGGTGTACTAAAGCCTTGTTCGCGAATGTACGGGAACGAGGACATCAACAAACGCCCATGCGCTAGCCCAAGACTCCCTCGCCTTTACGCCGAGCCTCCTTGTGCAGGACTATACTTGTGCCATATCTTGGTTTAGTAGGGCCAATGGCGTTCGCGTTAAACCCAGCATGATGTTCCGTCTCATTTAGTACGTAACAGCCTAGGTGACCCACAACAATTATTGTTCTTCGTAATGTCATAGCGTCACTCACAACGCGATGGAGAAAAGAGGATGCCGACAAGTCAGGTCCATACACACAATTGAGTTTGAGTGGGTTTGACTGCGTTGCGTTGAAAATGGCCGCGAGCCACTAGGTTACCCACGCTTCGGCGTGGCAACCAATAGGCTTAAAATCGGCGCAATGCCGTGCAAAACATTTTGGGAACCCCTTGGCCACAGTTTCCATTTCTAGTTGCCAACCTCACTTCACAACATCCCGTCACGACCAAAAACAATATTTGCATTTTCGAATATGTGACTTTGCTGAAATGTATAATACTGTAGGGGTTGCCTACGATTACGAATAAAATGCTGAAGCATTTTGTTTCTAGATGTGTGTGTGTGTGTGAATGGGGGGGGGGGGGCCTGCCGTGCCAGAATTTTTGCGCACGTAAGCAGGATTATGAAGGCACATGAAAGAGGAAGTGCTGTGACGGTCGTGCTGTTCCATTTTTTCCTCAACGTGTTTCTTGCTTAATTTATCCGTGAGCTGGAAGGGATCATGCTGCACTCTGTAGTGGTAGCCATGCCGCAAGGAAAGTATGGGACGCGGTCGATCGTACTACTTTTCACGTCGTCGTCTCCCCTTGTAGATATCATCTCACAATCATCATCACTGGACTTGGCACCGCGGGCCTCCATGGTGCAGGCTGTCGCCTTTCCGCGGTGCCACGGCTCTCCTGAGCCAATAAAAATTACTATTACTATTACTATTACTATTACTATTACTATTACTCAATAAGCCTAGGCAGGTCCTCACGGCCGCTGGGGGTCCTTGTTTCATCGGGGGTTCTCACTAAGGTGAACGAGTGCAAAGCCAGCGATCGCTGACTTCATTTTCATGCAGTGCTCAGTTGCACTACTTCGTCAACAAGGGAATCGAAATAGAAACCATGACACTCCTCTCTATGGCCACAAAGGTCCCGAAATGCAAAGTGCGCAGTGTTGCATGCAGGGATTTTTCGTAAGTAGTCTATCCTAGGAGTAGCTTGGCAAGCGGCATACGAAGCACGAACGCCCTGTTGCTCGCAGTTGCGACGCGGAAGAACCCTTTCAAACCAAAAGGCGTCACTAAAAATTAACCCCACCCGCCGGGGCTTATGACCACTAATTCCACCGAAACCGACGGTTCATTGTTGACGTCACCTCCTTTTCATGAGAGGTTGTATGACCGGAACGCAGAACGTCAGTTTCGGTTCCGTCGATTTATTTAACATTAAATATTAAGCTTCACAGAATTGTATATCAAGGTCAAGCATATTGCTAGGTTCATAAAAAAGCTGAAAACGCACTTTAAAAAAAAAAAAATGCTTAAAATCGTTTTTATGGTTTTTTTACGCGCGTTAACGCAGCTCAGAGCACGTGGAGCGAAAGTTCACACAGCAGAACCCAAGGATGCTAGGTTAGGTCCACGCCCCCTGCACGTTTTGATCTGAACGAGCGTCGTAGAGGTGTGCGCTCGTGTAACGAGACTTCTTTTAAAATAAGAAACAAAAAAAAAAAAAAGTTTTCTTCCACCTACACCACTTGAAGAATAACAGGCTTAAAGCCAATACAGGTTCAAATGAACCTCTATTGTTAAGAACCTCTGGCTGGTTAGCAGTCGCACTGCACTGGTTAAAATTGTCAAGTACAGCGTGCAACACTGTTGCCATAAACTGGCAGGCTAAACGCAGGCTGTGTAAACACAAAACATATATTTGTGCGTTTGTGCGTACGCAAAAAGAATGGCGCTGCAGTCAACTGTAACAAACGTCGGGGGAAAAGCTCAGCTATGCTTTGTTTCAGCTTAAGCTCAGAGGCTGCCGGCGCTACGAGGTAAGGGTACCAATCAAGCAGCCTAAAAAGCGGAGTCACAAGGCCTTTTATGTTTATGAATGGTTCACCGATTATAGAACACGTGCAGAAACATGACGGTGCGCTTTAAACGCAGCATGATTGGTCCGATCAGCTCATAGCGTCGGCGGCATCTGGACTTTAGGTGAAAGGAGCTGTAATGTTATAATGACTTTTTATTCAGCCAAGATAATTAGTAATGCTGATTGTAACTATTACAATTTTAGCCTGATGAGATGCTTACCCTGGACCCGCCAGATGTCTTCAAGCATTTATCTTGCAGTTCATCTAGAAGTTTATTTTTACACTCTCCTTCTATGTTATTCATACTTTGATCGACATACCAGGTAGAAACCGATTGCGCCTCTGAAACAAACGGGTGAAAACTTTTCTTTTTTCTTTTTTCTTTTTTTTTTAGAATCAAATTATTAATTATAAAAGTCATGAAATGTATTTAATTTAGTTAGCTTCTTCCTATCATAAGGTGCTCTGGCATAAATGTGCTACGTTTAGCAGCTTGTCTTTTCGAGGCAATATTTTATACTAATGCCGATATGTGTACCATACGCACCAATATATACCAAGTGGTATTCTTTATTCGAAACAGATTATTATAAAAGGCGTCTTTACTGCTACGTGAATGCCGTATTCACTATATGTTTCTTGAACTCGGCGGATATTCGAGGGGGGAATAACCGTCACAGCCTGGTGAGTAATTAGATGACACTGGTAATTGGCTTTCTAATTAGTGAAAATAGATACGTGGTTCCAAACTGAAACTTGTTGAGCGTCATCCAAAATAACTAAATCAATATTTTTTAGAAGTATTTGGAGCGCGTGAAAAGCGTATAGTGCGCTACAAGTACCACTCATGCAACAAGTACACCTGTAGCCTTGCTGCTGCTGCACGTGTGTAAATTTAGCGCACTACTCTTCTCACGCGTATAGAGGCTTACTGAAAATTACTGATGTAGTGGTTTTAAATGACGCTGAATAGATTTATAATTAAAATTACTATGTTTATTTTAAATAATTAGAAAGTAAAAATATAATGAATGAATTTTAGTTAGTTGGTTGTCCGCCCCCCGAATGTCCGCCGAGCTCTAGAAACATATCGTGAAGACGGCAGTCACGTTTCACTAAAGACGCCTTTTTAAAAAATGTGTTTCGAATAAAAAATACCACTCTGTATATCAAAACATAGGATGGTCACATTCAGGTAGAGGCAATTATTTGGCGAACATTTCTCTGCCGAAGGAATTAAAAATTTTTTTTCCCTTTGTTGTTTTATTAATTTTTGGGAAAAACAAGATTTCAAGCTCAATGAAGCACACAATATGCGTTCACTTTTATGCACAATTTTTGAAGCTTTCAGTGCATTTGTAAACTTGTAAAGCTTATGTATTACCATAGCCTCCTCTATACTCAAAAAGCCTGGAAGTTCGACAACGGTGCCTTAGAGTGCCCTGTCGCAGAATTAGAGCACGAGGATCTGGTAGCACAGAGCGTCAAAGAGCCATTTCTCGGGGAACCTGGACGTGTGAGCGCACAGATTATGCAGCGGCGAGGACCTGAAACACACTTGTTCGCTCTTGAGCAGTGTGTTTCGGCGTCTCGCCGCCGTGGGGAGCCAGCCACGTGGCTCTCCCCTCATGCGTTGTCTACCGCTCCAAATTTTTTATTTCGGCGGCCGCGTCTCGTGGCGATCTGCAAGGCTTTGTCAGTTTATTGGAGGCAATGGTATTACACTTAAACGGTCTGCTCTTTTTTGCGTTTTTTTTTTTTTTTCAAATTTTCTGAAGAGGAGGTGTGTTAAGTTCGGCTCACAAGGTAAGAACGCAAGTTTTACAATGAGTCTATTGCTGTAATTTAGAGTGCCAGCCGCTGTAATTAGAATAAAAGCAATTTTATCAGTCTTTTTTCGCTTGCTTTGCAATTAAATAGGTTCATTTCTATCCTATTTATATTTAGAAAATTATTACCACGTCCACGCAGTAATTAACTAAGATTCTCGAGTTTTCTCGTTTTAAGTTTAATATTTTACACAATAGAGATGACATTATTTACTATTTATTGTTCCCTGGCCTTTTTGAACATTTTAAACAATTTTAATTTAAAGGAGCGGTGCAACAATACTCAATTGGACTGTTTTTCAATTTACACGAGCTTTCTGGCAGTAGTGGGACTCAAAGATACTCGCACGCAACGCCACTGGCCAAGAAACTTCTTTGTTGCGGTGTAATTTCAATGACAAAAGCAATCATTTTCATTCAATCTCTCTTTGCGAAATTTGATGACGTAACGTGGGGATCTCAGTACACACTAATGACGATATTTGAATGCGGTTCATAGATTCGACCCGAGCATTGCGTGGGCACTCGATTTGGACACGTGATAATTACTAGCTCGAGAAGCATTTGGGTAGTCACCCGTGTCCAATCGCTGCAACGACGACAATAGGCGAGCCATAAAAATGTCTGGAGCTCAGTATGTGTACTGTGCTTTGCCAACCCCAGCGCGTGGGCTACGATCCACACTGGCGGCATATAATCGGCTCCAGATCGAGTGGCCGCTTGTTCTGGCTGCGAGTTGAGGAAATGAACGCTGCTCGTTTTTCTTTAATTTTTTTCTGTGAATTCTATTGCGTGGGGCGAAAAACGAACGCCTGTTTCATAGGTCATTAACGTCAGGGATCCCTTCTAAGCGATATTTGCGCAAAGCACAAAAATTGTTGCATCGCCCCTTTAAGCACTCCGACCCAAGACCAAATCTACCGCCCACCAGCATTAACTTCTACCCAAAACTATTGTGGACTGGAATGGCCTTCCCGATAACATCGTCACCATCATAGATAACACCAAGTTTCGCCTCGCACTAAACCACCACTCCCCTCTGTAATACCAGTCGGGGCCCTGAGGGTATATGTAAATAAATAAATAAATAAATAAATAATCACGCAGACGGGATATTTGTGACAATCGCTTTCCGCAATTACGTGACAAAACAATAAATAGATTATCCGGACTGCATATAAGGCTTATCATCAAGCGGCACCGTCCAGATTTTTGTTTGGGTTGATGTACAGAGAAATTGTTACTGGCAGGCAGGCACGTAGCCAGGATTTTGATTCGGTCGAAGAGAGGGGGGGGGGGGGGGGGGGGGGGGGGGGCGCGGCCGCCTATGTTAAAATGCTGTGTACGATGGAGAGGAGAGAGAGGAGGTCCCAGCAAAATGGAGGATTTCGACTGTAAAAGGAAGATGTAACCACCTTACAAAGCAACTTTGCGCTAAGCAACCACAACTCGCGTACATAAATATGTATACATGTTTATCGTATATAATGCGCCGCAATAAACTTGCAAGCAGTATGCCTTTAGGGAAACCAACTGAAAAGGTATCCCTTATACGACATTAGAGAATGTATGGATGAAGCTCCACGAGTGACAAGGCTTTCTGCAAATGAGCTTAGACCAAAATAAGCAGTCTGTCCTAATACACTAACGTAACCATGTGATACTTGATGCCCATCCCGGAATGAATTTCGTCTAGACATATTTTTGCTCCTACAATTGTTTTAGTGCATTCTGCAGATTGCACCGATTGGTTCTTTCAAGTGCCTCGCGGCGTAGGAAAGTAGGCGTTAAATATATATTAGCCTGCAGGTTGCACCTACAAAGCAATGAAATATTCCTATCAGGTCTTACCACAGCGCAAATGTGTAAAAGCCACGATAACCATGAATTGGGTGAGCTGCATTTTTTGCGTTATTACGTGGAAGACTCACGAAAATTGTCGTCCTGAAAAGCATAAGCGAAAACAAATAAAACTCAATTTTTGTTCCTGTTGATCCCCTTCTGTTGCAGACGTTAGTGTCATTTTAGAATCCTGGAAAGATTGCGTTTGTTAGCTGTACATTATCAAATCAGTAATTTATTTATTTATTCTGCTTAATGTGCCCACAAACAGCTCTAGGCCTTATTGGTCCGCACATATTACAAACAATAAAAGAACAGATACAGACCAACAAACAAGCAAGACGTGATTTAGAAAAGATAAAAGGAAATAAATAAAACTGCGGAGAACAATTGAGAACAACAGAGCACAGATGTTTGTCAAGCGCCCAACAATTCTCTTCTAAAGTTCAAAAGGGTTTAAAACAATTCTAAATCCCTCCTATCGCGATTGTAAAGGAGCTGAAGGCGTGTCATCGGGGAATGGACACAAACTTTCTGCGGGTAAAAAAGAAATGAAAGCCTGGTCCGCTTTTGGGGAACACTGAAAGAAATCGCACTAAAAGTAAAGGTGCCTCAATTGTAGCGTTCACTATCTTATACAAAAAAGTCACGTCTCGCGCTAATCTTCTTTTATGCAAGGGTACCTGGTCAAGCATATTAAGTAAGTATTCATATTCAAAATAAATGCGCCTCCCAATCCCATCGATCGTAAACAATACGCACGAGACGACGCTGCGCTTTTTCTAATACATGATTGAGTCGATCCAATGGTGTTGCATATGACTGAGCAGAACTCAAGTTTTGACAAAACAAGGGCGCGAAATAGATGAATCATGCAAGCGTAAGTATAAAAATTCAGCGTCATTCGGGAAATAACGCCGAGCACCTGATAAGAATCATTCACAACTTGCGCTACATGCTCAGTAAACGAAAGGCGGGGATCAAACAGCACTGCCAGGTCACGAATAGTATCGGACCTCGCGATAGCTGAACCTAACATGGTATACGGACACTCAATGCAGCTTGTCTTGCGGGTAAAGGCAACAACCTTGGTTTTACCGGGGTTAACTACTAAATTATTTTTAAGCACCAGTTTAGAACTGCCTGAACATCGTCTTGCATCTTTAGACAGTCAGTAGTCGAATGAATTTCGCGATAAATCTTGACATCGTCTGCAAACTGCAGCACCTTTAAATGCTGCACACTGTCTACCAAATCATTCACAAAAATATTGAATAAAAACGGCACCAGGTTGGACCCTTGAGGCACTCCAGTATTTAAAACATTATGAGGCAGAAAAACACCCCTCATACAGCACTCTGTTAGGTCTTCCGCCAAGATAACTAAACAACCAACTGCAAAACGAGCTAGTCATGCCCAACGCTGAACATTTGACGAGTAACAACTTATGATCTACGAGATCAAAAGCTTAAGAGTAATCGAAATAAATAACATCAACCTGCCCACGGGACGTGACCTTAGGTAGAGTGCGTTCCAAAAATGATACAAGGTTTGTTTCCGTGAGCGCCCTTGACAAAAACCATGTTGGATGAGACAAAGAGACGATTTTAAATGAAAATAAATATGCTTTAACATTGCCTTTTCAAATACCTTTGAAAAAGAGCAAAGAAGAGAAATTGGCCTATAGTTCATAACGCAGTCAGTGCGACCAGATTTATGTATAGGAACAACGACTGCATTCTTCCATCCTTGAGGAAATACATTGGCTTCTAATGACATGTTGAAAACATGTAGCAGCACAGGTGCAAAAATATCCCTGCATCCCTTTACGATGAAAGCAGAAATTTCGTCCTCACCGCATGACTTTTTTGAAGCGAGCTCATTTATTGCGAAAAGTACATCTTCAAGCGTAAGGAGCATCGGTCATAGCAGTGCACGGATAAGCAAGTTACCGTCGGAAGAGAAGAACGTAGCAAAACGATCACAGACAACGGATGGCTCAGATGTATATCCAGAGTTGTCTTTCAATGCTATAGTTTTCGATCGACTAGATGTCCTCATGTACCTTGCGTAATTCCACAGAGCGTTTTAAATTGCGGTCAACTGAAATTCGCCAGTTCTCCCGATCACGCCGTATCAGCTTTTTGGTCATTGAACGATACTTTTTAAACAGACTCTGCCATTTATTTATGCCGGTGTTCTTGTACTATTTATGATACCTCGCTTTTTTACGCAGCGCTCTGGAGAACCAAAAAGGATCGTTGCTAGTTCGACGACTTCTGCGTGGAATGGAATTATTCATGGCTGCAGTTAGCGATGTCTGTAGACCTTGAACTGCGCTATCGATATTGGAACAGAGTGAAATAACGCTCCAATCTACGTTGCGAAGGTGATTGTACAGACCAAGGCAATCCCCACGGGCGTAGTTATACCCGAGAGACTGATTACTCGCCGACGTCCGAGCAGGAAGTAAAATAGAAAGGGTGAATGGTGGATGCCACTTATCGATAGAGATAAGAGGACAGTCAGTAGCCTCGAAAGTGATGGCTGATAGTCATGCACAAGTCAAGCGTATTTCCAGCCTCGTTTCTTGTAGTATTCAGCTGATAAAGCCCATTGAAGTTCACAAACTCCATTGTTTCTTCGGCCCTAGTACATGCCTCACTTCATGCACCACTAATTGTGTTTGAATTCCAATCAACGCCAGGCGCGTTAAAGTCACCAACGATCATCACATCATCGGTCGAAAAATCTACGGCACCGGAAATGTAGTTCAAAGCGCCTATGAATGATTGTGTGTCAGAACGAGGTAAAGTAATAATTTCCAATTATTAAGTTAGGCTGGCCCGGAAAACTGATTTGCACCCAAACAGATTCATTTCCTTCTTGCAGATCAAACCTACGAAAACATGATAATGACTTATGCACCGCCGTGAGCACCCCTCCCCCCAGAGTGGCCCGCGAACCAGTTGAATCCTTATCACATCTGTAAACGCTATATTCGTCAGTAAAATATTCGTTGCTAGAGATTGCTTTTGAAAGCCAAGTTTCTGTGATACAGATTACATAAAAATCGGAAGTCGTGACACCTTCAAAGAAAACATTAGGTTTGGTTCGTATCCGACGAGCGTTTTGATAGTATACACGGATGTTATCCATCACGAGTCCTCGTTAGTTGTTGGTCGCTCTGAATCCGGGTCACGTAAGGGCCCCCAAAAGGGCCTAAAGAGACTACCTTCCGGCCACACGCTAGAGTCATTAATTTTGATCAGGCAATCAATCAATATCAACTAAATCATGAATTTTTCATATAGCGTTCACAGTTTTTTTTTTTTTTTTTTTTATTGTCACCGTGGATGAAGAATATTACCTGCGTTTCTGCATCACCAGCCTTCTGCCTGGTGCACGAGTGACAACTTTAGAGCACCCCCCCGTTACCCACTAGCCTTCCTACATTTGACTGAATTGAGGACATTCGATGACGCTCAGCAAGTTTCTGTTCGAAACCATCAGTCATTACCACTAGCTAAAAATGTATTAGTGAATTTTTGTTAATCATATATCTAATTAGCATGTGTCTTAATATTCCTCGATGTCCACTGTGGCTTTTGTTTTACTTAATCACACTATTCCTACGAACTTTTAGTCTTCACATAAGCACCCCTAACATGCATGCTATAAAAACACGTCTTTGCATTCTTCAATATGTTCATCGTAAACTCACACTGTGGCACTGTTATTCATAAAATGAAGAAAATGTGTTGGGAATTTCGTGCTCTAGAATGTACAAATTCCGGCGTCTTCCTAGCTTTGCGGAACAATCCCAAAAAAAATAACAAATGACTCCTTGTTTGTACCCGGACACCTCGAATATTATTACACTTTTGACGTCTTCCTCAAACTAAAATAAAAATACTGCCAAAAGTTTTGCATGCACGTTAATAGAAATATACACGGTTTTTCGGCATGTAAACGTTTCCCAATCCCTGGGCGTTACTGCAATTACGACATTAAGACAAAGTTCCGAAACTGCTTTGTAAGCACTTACCGGCGCTTGCAAGCTTCAACTTTGTATCTATATACAATAATCCATCTTGCTCTTTTTATATCGAGATCTGGATCAGAAATTAAGGCGGGGCAACATTTTGTTTTTATATTCATCGAGGCGGGTTTCGTTTATTTCCGCACATCTGGACCAAGAGCGTACTTTAACTATCTAAGTACTTACGTACTTAGATAGTTGAGGTCGCTGAAAATGTTTGAGAGTCCAAAAGGAATAAAATGTTGATATATTTGTATATTCACGTGCAATCTTGACCGATTGAGAGAAATCAGCTGCCTTTGTGCATTCATGGCGAGGATACAATGACGGCTAGTCATACATCTGTTACATAAAAGAAACATGCATTTAATGATACGCATTTTGATATATTTTGAGACTTCTCATATTATGTAGTTCGTTGGTAAATAATTTGTAAATGCGTCTCAAAAACGTGCTTACTGATAATGATTTTTGGCTTTTTTATATATTTTATTGTAATTGTAAATGTGTTTTGTACATGTCGTAAACTGTTCAGAAAACGACTGGACCTAGTTATAACCAAGGGCATGCTTCGGTGTCGGCTCCGGTAAAGATAATTGACTATAGTGCCTGGGTACCTAAACCCCGGGTATTCATTTTATTTTATTCAAAATACTGCAGGCCTTTCTCACGCCCTGGCAGGTTACATTATATTTGACACAACAGATAAATAAAAAACAACAAAGATAATAGTATATTAATATGGCATTATATAGAATTTTAGTTAAACAATGACACAGAAGTTAAACACAGTTTCATCTCATTCGACAAGATTACTGTACGGAAACACATGGTTTCATCAGGTGGCATTCAACAAATGCTAATAAAGTAAAAAGTGAATGATTTTAAGGATGTCCTACATGTAAAATCAATGATAGTGTGGATTAAAAAAATTCTGAAAGTGCTTAGTCAAGCTGTCCACGATCGACTGCGTTTCGCAAATTGTGACGGATTCCTGCGGCTATAGGTTCCATTCTTCA